AATGCCATTGGCAAAATACACTGCTGTGTATCTGGTATCATGCCATTTTTCGAATATCTTTGAATGACAACAGCAATACTCATAAACTATGACATATTTCCACAGTCTTGTTCCTCAACCCAAGAGAAATGTTAGTTTAAAATGGAACTGGAACTAAACGAGGACTAGACACTCTATTTGTTTTGCTCCTCAGACTTAAAAGTAACAAGTATTTTAAATATGAGACGAATCCGTTAAGTAACCCACGCCAGTATTTAAAACAACGTCACTAATATTGTATAAAACGCCAATGTCTACTATGACATTGTAGACTGAACAGTGTAATGTAGTCAGTCATTCAACAGTGTGATAGAAGGTGAACAGTGATTACAACAATATTGCCAGGTCTTCATTGGGAACCTACAAGTGATTACCCACTACTGCGTTTGAACGATAGCCATCCATGAAGATCCGGGTTAGAATTGATCTTCAGCAACCCATGCTTATCGTAAGAGGCGACTAATGAGATCGGGTGGTCAGACTTGTTTGAAACACGTCATCATTTCCCAATTGCTTACATCTGTGCTCATGATGTCGATCACTGGATTGTCTGTCCTAGACTAGATCATTAACAGACATCCGCCATATAGGTACAATACTGCAAATGCTGACAGCATTAAACTCTTTTGTGCTGTCAATAAGAATACCAACTTTATACTTACTGAATGATGCCGTATATGTATAAAACAAAATATATTTAAATACATCAACGGTTATATTCCTGCAGGTTCTCCCAAAGAGCGGAGCGCGGTGCATGCATGAAACAGTCGGTATTTCAACACAGAGTTCAGCTTAGAATGTCGTGTTAAGTACAGGCAGATTGCACTATGGCGTACAGGCGAACAACAAGCGTGTCAGAGAACGACCCTGTGTACAGAGTGGTGCGCCCCAAACTCCGCTCACCACGCTTATTAAAAACGGACCCATTTAACACCAAAGTAAGTAAAGAACAGGCCTCTTCCCTGTCATGTACGAAACATGTTATAAAGCATGTTATAAAAACTGCACTGTGAATTCTCCTAAAGTAATAACTTTATAAGTGCAAAATAATCCTTATGAGATTTCTTTGCAACTGTCATGATCCTCTAAAATGTGTTATTATTTTGTATCTGATACGTTGAACCCTTGAAACAGACCAAAAACAAACAAACCAAAAAAACCCCATCAAAACCTAGATGTATGTCCTTGATTCCTGGAAACAGTGAATTTCACTCTCTAAGTGGAATAGCTGTCAGATTGGTTGTAATTAATATATATATTACTTTGTAATCTTCGAGGCGCCCTTAATTTGTCCGGATAAACAAATGTCCGGATAAACGAACAATGAGCTTATATGAATCACAGTGAAGCGCAAATAGGGTTGCGCATCAAAGAGAATATTGACCAATCTTTTCAGGTCATTTTCTAATTGTTGCGCAACCCTATTTGCGCTGCTTGTGTATGCATGGACAAAACAGCCAGGCAAAACCCAAGATATACACTTTGGATGAAAATGAAATACCAAAGGAATGGTACTTAGTTGGTGGCGTGATAATAACGTTTGTAATGTACATAGTTTTCGTCAGGCTGTTTATACGAACACCGAAACTCATCTGAATGCTTGAGTGTGTAATCTAGCGCAATATTCAATGTATTTTAAAATACTGTAGTAAAGATAAAGTGACATATACTGTATACTGTAATGACTTTTAAGAGATCGAATGTAATATCATAAAAGACCCATGAAAGTTGTTAAAATACTGATCTTTGCGATACCTATCCAGATTTTCGTAATAGTCAGGGATTGTGAAACAATTTGAAAGTATATACCTATCTCATTTCAGATATTTGAAATATTAGAAACAGTTATCCTATTTTACTTATTTATAATCATAACTTATAGCTGTATGGATAGGTAGCTGTGTTACTTGTATTCCCCAGACTACTCCAAATGATCTCCACTGGGCTGCAGAAAAGGGAAATATCAATCTTCTGGCTCATCTCCTTATGGAGAACCAGGGTACAAACATCACCGACCCCGTGAGTAGCCGTCTATATATACTGAGTCAAAAAAGAAACTTTACATTCTTTCTTCAGGGCACTATAAAAGAACAAGAGATGGTAAGATGGTTAAATTGGTATTATTTCATTGCTGAGATCTGTGTGCTGTACTCGATTCACTGACAGTGCCATAATCAGTTCCATTAGGCTACACCGCCGTTCCAAAACATGGGTATAAAGAATGTCAAGTCACAAAAATAAAAATGCGAAATTTCACAGTTCAGTATCGTGTATGGACGCCCCGCGCATTCACCACTGCCAAACACCGTCTCCTCATCGACTGCCTGATGCTTGTGAACACGTGGTTGGGGATTCTGCGTCATTGCTCTTGCAAGGAAGCACCAAGTTCCTGCAAATTCTGAGGTTGGTTCCTAAGACCAAGAAGCCTTCTCCCAAGTGCATCCCAAACGTGCTCTATTGGATTAAGGTCAGGGGACCTCGATGGCCAGTCCATGGCGTTGATTCCAGCGTTTTGAAGGAAATTACGTGTCAACATCGCAGTATGCGACCGAGCATTATCATGCTGGAACTGTAGACCTGGGCCATGAGCCGCCATGAAAGGAACGAGTTCAGGGGTGAGCACCTGGTCGCGGTAAGCAGCAGCTGTGAGGTTTCCACGGATGACCAGAAGTCGGGAACGGTTGTTCCCACAGAAAGCACCCCACACCATGCAACTTCCGCCCCCGAATCTGTCGACTTTCTGTACACAACATTGGGCATACCGTTCACGACGTCGTCTCCAGACTCTATGCCTGCCGTCCGCGAATCTTAGGGTAAGCCTGGATTCATCGCTAAAGACGACTCGATTCCAGTCTCTCTGGGTCCATCGGAGGTGACGTTGGGCCCACAGCAGACGTTGACCGCAACCGATTTCGAATGGTCTGTGAGGACGGTCGACCTCTAAACATCTCAGCCCTGGTTCGTGTAGCCGGTAGAAATCTGTGACGTAGGACGATTTGACGGTCTTCTGCTCGTGAATTCACACGTGGACGACCCGACCTTGGGCGATCAGAAGTGGTGCCAGTTTGTTGTAGACGACCTCGCAAGTCATACACAGTACGACGGCTGCATCCCATTGCTCTTGCGACTTCAATAACTGATTTTCCCGCTTGCAACATGCCAACGGCAAGTTCACGTTGCACATTTGACAATCGTGACATTTCAAGTACCGTTAGAAATGTGGTTTAAAAGTGTTTTTTCAATTTTTAAGGCCAATGCAAACACGTGCATATGAAGACAACTTCGATGCGACGTGATCGACTGCACGTGCAAAACCTGATTTGGCACTAACGTCATTTGCACGACGAATGGATGGGTTTGAGTGGGTTTTGCTAACGTTTTTCTAGAGTCGAAAGATAGGGATCCCATTTCGGATACATAGATGTATCATCAGAGAAAAATTATTCATTATTTTTCAAATTACATTTGTGAAGTTTCTTTTTTGACTCAGTATATCTCACTAAAAAAGGTACTGTCGGAAATAGCAAATACCTGTTTTTTCGCATTGATATCTACAATTTATGTAGTTAATATGTGTAAGTGTGAAATATCTTTTGAACTAAGTTCGGCCTAACTACAGTCTCTATAGTAGGGAGATAGGAAACTTAGAAAGTTAGTGTGCGATGATATTATATTACAAAGGACAATTTTTTAATGTCCATTTTGAAATTAAACTTAGCTTCATTATAAAGCTGACGTAAACAATAATAACTTTAATACTGAAACTATGAAAGATGTAGCTGCCATGGAGACTCACTATCACTAGAAAAAGAAACAGATAGGAGGGGTCGTCTCAAAAGCAAAACCAAGACGGGTGTTTCTGACGGAAGTTGGAGTCGGGCTTGGGGATAGAGGGTGATATTAGCTAAAATTAGATATATTTTTGTAATCAGAAGAGACATATTCAGTACACATGAAAAAGCATAAACGATATTTGAGATGACCCATTATGTCTGTCCGCAGCACATGCATTTCATGCCAAGTGAGTTGACTGTCCGTTGTCATACCTGGCTGAGAGACCTAATTGCCATTTATAGTCTGATCTATTGTTTTCAGCCGCTGTTCGTATATTTTCTAAGTTTTGCCCGATTTTACGATTAAACATGCTTTTTTATGGATATCTTATTACCCATCCCAATGAACGGTTAGGCTCAGTTAGGCTTATAAGGGTTATTTCGACATATGCTATGTGCAATTGTGTAAATTTTAGGGATACAGAGTAACAGCCTAAAAACAGTTTTATCTATTTCCGACAGTACTTTAACACCGCCGACGCCTTGAGTAACGATCCTTATATTTTGAATTGTTCCTTGTTGAATGTTGTAAATGCACTTTTTATACTTGAGACCTTACTTAAGAAGTGAGGGCACAGAAATGTCTTCCCCGAATGCCGTTAACTAGTGGACATAATTTCTAGTTTGGCCGCACACCCCTCCACGAGGCAGCTGCCAATGACCAGCTCCAAGCTGCAGACTGGCTGATGTTCCACGGTGCAGATCCGCACATCAAGGACTTTGTAAGTACACGAATACCCAGAAAGATTATGTGATGCATATACTATCGTAACCGAAAAATGTTGATTTGCATGAAACAAGGAGAGTGGATGATTTTTGGACTAAAGGAACAATGTATTTTTTATGACAGCAAGGTACTCTAAACTGTCATTACTTTTGCACAGTGCAGGTCTGCAGAATGGAATTAGGGTCTGTAACTACCGTTGCTTTACCACTCCGTTATAACGGAGTGGTAAAGCAACGGTAGTTACATACCCTAATTCCATTCTGCAGACCTGTACTGTGCAAAAGTAATGACAGTTTAGTGTACCTTGCTGTCATATAAATACATTGTTCCTTTAGTCCAAAAATCATCCACTCTCCTTATTTCATGCATATCAACATTTTTCGGCTACGATAGTATATGCATCACATAATCTTTCTGGGTATTCGTGTACTTACAAAGTCCTTGATGTGCGGATCTGCACCGTGGAACATCAGCCAGTCTGCAGCTTGGAGCTGGTCATTGGCAGCTGCCTCGTGGAGGGGTGTGCGGCCAAACTAGAAATTATGTCCACTAGTTAGCGACATTCGGGGAAGACATTTCTGTTCCCTCACTTCTTAAGTAAGTTCTCAAGTATAAAAAGAGCATTTACAACATTCAACAAGGAACAATTCAAAATATAAGGATCGCTACTCAAGGCGTCGGCGGTGCTAAAGTACTGTCGTAAATAGATAAAACTGTTTTTAGGCTGTTACTCTGTATCCCTAAAATTTACACAATTGCACATAGCATATGTCGAAATAACCCTTATAAGCCTAACTGAGCGTTCATTGGGATGGGTAATAAGATATCCATACAAAAGCATGTTTACTCGTAAAATCGGGCAAAACTTAGAAAATATACGAACAGCGGCTGAAAACAATAGATCAGACTATAAATGGCAATTAGGTCGCTCAGCCAGGTATGACAACGGACAGTCAACTCACTTGGCATGAAATGCATGTGCTGCGGACAGACATAAAGGGTCATCTCAAATATCGTTTATGCTTTTTCATGTGTACTGAATATGTCTCTTCTGATTACAAAAATATATCTAATTTTAGCTAATATCACCCTCTATCCCCAAGCCCGACTCCAACTTCCGTCAGAAACACCCGTCTTGGTTTTGCTTTTGAGACGACCCCTCCTATCTGTTTCTTTTTCTAGTGATAGTGAGTCTCCATGGCAGCTACATCTTTCATAGTTTCAGTATTAAAGTAATTATTGTTTACGTCAGCTTTATAATGAAGCTAAGTTTAATTTCAAAATGGACATTAAAAAATTGTCCTTTGTAATATAATATCATCGCACACTAACTTTCTAAGTTTCCTATCTCCCTACTATAGAGACTGTAGTTAGGCCGAACTTAGTTCAAAAGATATTTCACATTTACACATATTAACTACATAAATTGTAGATATCAATGCGAAAAAACAGGTATTTGCTATTTCCGACAGTACTTTTTTAGTGAGATATTTTAGTCAAAAAAGAAACTTCACAAATGTAATTTGAAAAATAATGAATAATTTTTCTCTGATGATACATCTATGTATCCGAAATGGGATCCCTATCTTTCGACTCTAGAAAAACGTTAGCAAAACCCACTCAAACCCATCCATTCGTCGTGCAAATGACGTTAGTGCCAAATCAGGTTTTGCACGTGCAGTCAATCACGTCGCATCGAAGTTGTCTTCATATGCACGTGTTTGCATTGGCCTTAAAAATTGAAAAAACACTTTTAAACCAGAGTTCTAACGGTACTTGAAATGTCACGATTGTCAAATGTGCAACGTGAACTTGCCGTTGGCATGTTGCAAGCGGGAAAATCAGTTATTGAAGTCGCAAGAGCAATGGGATGCAGCCGTCGTACTGTGTATGACTTGCGAGGTCGTCTACAACAAACTGGCACCACTTCTGATCGCCCAAGGTCGGGTCGTCCACGTGTGACGTCACGAGCAGAAGACCGTCAAATCGTCCTACGTGACAGATTTCTACCGGCTACACGAACCAGGGCTGAGATGTTTAGAGGTCGACTGTCCTCACAGACCATTCGAAATCGGTTGCGGGCTGCCAATCTCCATTCTCGACGTCCATATCGTGGGCCAATATTGACGCCGGTTCATCAACGTCAACGTCTGCTGTGGGCCCAACGTCACCTCCGATGGACCCAGAGAGACTGGAATCGAGTCGTCTTTAGCGATGAATCCAGGTTTACCCTAAGATTCGCGGACGGCAGGCATAGAGTCTGGAGACGACGTCGTGAACGGTATGCCCAATGTTGTGTACAGAAAGTCGACAGATTCGGGGGCGGAAGTTGCATGGTGTGGGGTGCTTTCTGTGGGAACAACCGTTCCCGACTTCTGGTCATCCGTGGAAACCTCACAGCTGCTGCTTACCGCGACCAGGTGCTCACCCCTGAACTCGTTCCTTTCATGGCGGCTCATGGCCCAGGTCTACAGTTCCAGCATGATAATGCTCGGTCGCATACCGCGATGTTGACACGTAATTTCCTTCAAAACGCTGGAATCAACGCCATGGACTGGCCATCGAGGTCCCCTGACCTTAATCCAATAGAGCACGTTTGGGACGCACTTGGGAGAAGGCTTCTTGGTCTTAGGAACCAACCTCAGAATTTGCAGGAACTTGGTGCTTCCTTGCAAGAGCAATGACGCAGAATCCCCAACCACGTGTTCACAAGCATCAGGCAGTCGATGAGGAGACGGTGTTTGGCAGTGGTGAATGCGCGGGGCGTCCATACACGATACTGAACTGTGAAATTTCGCATTTTTATTTTTGTGACTTGACATTCTTTATACCCTTGTTTTGGAACGGCGGTGTAGCCTAATGGAACTGATTATGGCACTGTCAGTGAATCGAGTACAGCACACAGATCTCAGCAATGAAATAATACCAATTTAACCATCTTACCATCTCTTGTTTTTTTATAGTGCCCTGAAGAAAGAATGTGAAGTTTCTTTTTTGACTCAGTATATATAGACGGCTACTCACGGGGTCGGTGATGTTTGTACCCTGGTTCTCCATAAGGAGATGAGCCAGAAGATTGATATTTCCCTTTTCTGCAGCCCAGTGGAGATCATTTGGAGTAGTCTGGGGAATACAAGTAACACAGCTACCTATCCATACAGCTATAAGTTATGATTATAAATAAGTAAAATAGGATAACTGTTTCTAATATTTCAAATATCTGAAATGAGATAGGTATATACTTTCAAATTGTTTCACAATCCCTGACTATTACGAAAATCTGGATAGGTATCGCAAAGATCAGTATTTTAACAACTTTCATGGGTCTTTTATGATATTACATTCGATCTCTTAAAAGTCATTACAGTATACAGTATATGTCACTTTATATTTACTACAGTATTTTAAAATACATTGAATATTGCGCTAGATTACACACTCAAGCATTCAGATGAGTTTCGGTGTTCGTATAAACAGCCTGACGAAAACTATGTACATTACAAACGTTATTATCACGCCACCAACTAAGTACCATTCCTTTGGTATTTCATTTTCATCCAAAGTGTATATCTTGGTTTTGCCTGGCTGTTTTTCCATGCATACACAAGCAAACTGTTGCGCAAATAGGGTTGCGCAACAATTAGAAAATGACCTGAAAAGATTGGTCAATATTCTCTTTGATGCGCAACCCTATTTGCACTTCACTGTGATTCATATAAGCTCATTGTTCGTTTATCCGGACATTTGTTTATCCGGACAAATTAAGGGCGCCTCGAAGATTACAAAGTAATATATACATTAATTACAACCAGTCTGACAGTTATTCCACTTAGAGAGTGAAATTCACTGATTCCAGGAATCAAGGACATACATCTAGGTTTTGATGGGTTTTTGGTTTGTTTGTTTTTGGTCTATTTCAAGGGTTCAACGTATCAGATACAAAATAATAACACATTTTAGAGGATCATGACAGTTGCAAAGAAATCTCATGAGGATTATTTTGCACTTATAAAGTTATTACTTTAGGAGAATTCACAGTGCAGTTTTTATAACATGCTTTATAACATGTTTCGTACATGACAGGGAAGAGGCCTGTTCTTTACTTACTTTGGTGTTAAATGGGTCCGTTTTTAATAAGCGTGGTGTGCGGGGTTTGGGGCGCACCACTCTGTACACAGGGTCGTTCTCTGACACGCTCGTTGTTCGCCTGTACGCCATAGTGCAATCTGCCTGTACTTAACACGACATTCTAAGCTGAACTCTGTGTTGAAATACCGACTGTTTCATACATGCACCGCGCTCCGCTCTTTGGGAGAACCTGCAGGAATATAACCGTTGATGTATTTAAATATATTTTGTTTTATACATATACGGCATCATTCAGTAAGTATAAAGTTGGTATTCTTATTGACAGCACAAAAGAGTTTAATGCTGTCAGCATTTGCAGTATTGCACCTATATGGCGGATGTCTGTTAATGATCTAGTCTAGGACAGACAATCCAGTGATCGACATCATGAGCACAGATGTAAGCAATTGGGAAATGATGACGTGTTTCAAACAAGTCTGACCACCCGATCTCATTAGTCGCCTCTTACGATAAGCATGGGTTGCTGAAGATCAATTCTAACCCGGATCTTCATGGATGGCTATCGTTCAAACGCAGTAGTGGGTAATCACTTGTAGGTTCCCAATGAAGACCTGGCAATATTGTTGTAATCACTGTTCACCTTCTATCACACTGTTGAATGACTGACTACATTACACTGTTCAGTCTACAATGTCATAGTAGACATTGGCGTTTTAGACAATATTTTGACGTTGTTTTAAATACTGGCGTGGGTTACTTAACGGATTCGTCTCATATTTAAAATACTTGTTACTTTTCAGTCTGAGGAGTAAAACAAATAGAGTGTCTAGTCCTCGTTTAGTTCCAGTTCCATTTTGAACTAACATTTTCTCTTGGGTTGAGGAACAAGACTGTGGAAATATATCATAGTTTATGAGTATTGCTGTTGCCATTCAAAGATATTCGAAAAATGGCATGATACCAGATACACAGCAGTGTATTTTGCCAATGGCATTTCTAGTATAATTCAAATTTCAATTCCTGATTCAGAAAGGTACCAACTTATGATATGTTGTTATGTCTATGTATATCAAATATGTTAAAAGTGTAATGCATTCAATATATTCAAAAAGTGATTTCGTAAAAATCCGTTTAACTGTAAAATAGATAAATATCATCCTCTGTAATTTAACCTTATTATACAGGAGGAAGAGATGAATATGTTCAAACCTATTGCCTTGTTTATTAACATAACGCTTTGCTATATGTGCTGGCTCAGCAACCGATGCTTGCCACAAAAGGCGACTATGCTCGTCGTAAGAGGCGACTAAAAGGATCGGGTGGTCAGGCTCGCTGACGTGGTTGACACATGTCATCGTATCCCAATTGCGCAGATCAATGCTCATGCTGTCGATCACTGGATTGTCTGGTCCAGACTCGATTATTTACAGACCGCCGCCATATAGCTGGAATATTGCTATGTGCGGCGTAAAACTAAACTCACTCACTATAAGTGCTGACATTCTAGTTAAGGTTTCTTAAAATGGAGCACCTTTAGAATACAGCACCACAACTTCTCGTGAGGACGATCTCTGCCGTAGGTCACGTGTCATTAAGACAAGCAACCAGTTTGTGAGAACCCGTCGGACGCGAACCCGCGATCTTCGGATTGTTAGCTCGACAGCTAACCGACTGAGCTACGTCCACACTGTTACACAATGTGCAAATTTATCGAGTCATTCCTGTGATGTCACGGAAATGAACGGAAAGAGTCGAATAGGTCTCGGACAATTACGGATGCTACGGGTAGACTTGGTGTCTCGTAATTTTATTCTCCGGACAATTGCCGAATGGATCCGATCCAGTTGGCACACTCGTCCCATTCCGTAATCTACAAATTAACGTGTGGCGTGGAATGAGCCGATATGCCTCAAACTGAAAAGGGTTGTTGACGTCAGACGTAGATTTCACGGTGCATGCATGAATGACGCGCTTTTATATAAATCGGTGATTTTGTGACAGAAAAGTGATGTAGGGAACACTGTAAGGATAATGTGGATCGCACTAAAGAACGAGGGAGACATGAGCATGTGTAGTGACGGCACTCGGGTGAGTTAGCCTTCGAATAATTACTTTACAAGATTTATGTTGCGTATGAAAGAGGCTTGAGTGCAAATTCCAGACCAATTTCCATTAGCCCCAAATTTCTACATTAAACCATTTCATAATGTACTTTTGACGTTTTTGGTTTCCCGTTTCTGTGTGAAAAAAATGTATTAAAATGCAAAAAGGAAAAACAACAAATGGTACTCACGTATTACACCGGATATGTACCTGCTATATTGGATTAGGTCCCCAACCCTAACCCTAACCCTAAACCCTAAACCCTAAACCCTCAGCCCTAACCCTAACCCTAACCCCTTGAAATAATCCTAATAAATAGAATGCATTGACCGAACCACCGGACATGTACCTACTATATTGCATTAGGTCCCCAACCCCGACCCTAACCCTAAACCCTAAACCCTAAACCCCCTAACCCTAACCCTAACCCTAACCCTAACCCTAGTCCTAGTCCTAGTGCTAGCCCTAGCCCTAGCCCCAATCCCTTGAATTAATCCTAATAAATAGAATGCATTGACCGAAACGGCACAAACACGACTGACGTGTCTAGTGTAATGCATTATTACCGCTTCGAAAAATAAAATACTAATAAAACACTTTTCTGTGTAATGGTGCAAATTACTGAATGTCAAAAATATATATGCAAATTAAAAAAATTACAAAATACAAAATACACAAAACATAACACCTCAGCAGCCCGTAATACAAATAATTATCAGCCTGGTTCCCTGGGTCTGTTGCGCCTGCGCTAACGCTCCGACACTAGTACTGACCCAGGCAACCACTGCCGAATGGCGGCCTTCACTGCATTTACTATAGGAAAATCTGAGAACCGGTGGTTATAATTTTTTCATAGCATTTTTATCGATACTATGGCAAAGTATACGTCATTGGCGAACACGTTATTTAAGCAGTTTCGAGACACGAAAATCGTCGTTACATGGGCGATATGTAAACAATGACACACACCCTATTTTCATCACCGACATGTCCTTTGATACTTCGTTTCAGCTCGCTATTGCCACGAAATGGTACACATAAAACATGGATCTGAACGACCACATTGATTGAATATAGTTAGCATCTTTATTTTAGCAAATATGATGACGTGTAATTCGATGATTTGGCCCCCATTTCTCCTGTTTTGTGTGTTGGAAATACACTGAACGCCCAGTAATAGTAACTAGAAAATGGTTGTTACCACATTATATAATTACTAATAATTATTTCTAATACATTTTAAACACATAAATGATTAATTCAACAATGTTTTTAGAAGAATGTATGTGCTTTCAAAAATGGAATAATATTAGAAAAATATGGCATATTTGTTATTTGTATTCATTTGGCATATATCATTTCAATATAACATCCAAATCTGTTCTTCCATTTTGCATTGGGCTGATCACGGCGATGCAATAGGCATTGATCTTAAAAAGTTTAACAATAGTCATAGTATGGCAACATCTGCGTGATTCTACTGGGAAGTTGATTACACATCGGACCTTTATATACAACATTGAATGTACCCCATTCCCCATCCCATACATAGCTACAGTTTTGTATATAATAGGAAAACGGGCACATTATGAAATATTCATAACTTCGTGTGGTTTAGCTTGTTTTGAAAAAGCCGACTCATAAAAAGGAAAGTGCGCATTGTCTAAAACACACTGATACACAATACTCCCAGATGGGGCTCATGTTCGTTAAAGACATGTTTAGTGAAAAAACAGTTATTAATATTTCATAATGTGTCCATTTCCTGTTACATAAAAACACTGTAGCTATATCTGGGGTTGGAGAGGGGTGGGGAATGGGGTACATTCAGTTCTGAAACCTGTTGGTATTACACTCACAATAAACAGACAGTTTAATAAAGACTATCTTTGATTGCATGAAACACGCATGCCAATGAAGCAATGTATTACAATTTCCTTAGCTGTTTAATATAAACATAGACATAAGTTATATACAACATCAAAGTTGTCTTGTCGTCCGTCGAAGTTTTCAGATGAAAGAATTCCGATAAAAGATGTTGGTTGGTTTGTTGTTTAAGGCTCCAATCGGCTGTATTCCAGTTATATGGCGGCGGTCTGTAAATAATCGAGTCTGGACCAGGCAATCCAGTGATCATCAGCATGATCATCGATCCAATAAAAAATGTTACAGTGTGGGACTTTATATATAATTGTTTAAGATACATACCTAATTCTTATGGCTGAGTAATGCTCACATACAAGCAATACATGCATATGAAACTCATCTTCAACAAAAGATCTTCCCCTAAATATACAATATTTACAGTCATTCAGTGTATGGGACAGTTGTGTATCTTCCAAAATCGACTGTAAGTTTAAACCTACTACATCTGAAAAGAGCCATGGATAGTCTTAGGTGTACAGGGATATGGAGCGTAAGATTCTATTCCAATTTAACGGTGATTTTAAATGCTGTTAATAGAAGGAATCAGATAAACTGTTGATGGAACCACGCCCTGATTGTTGTAGGTTGTCAAATGATCTTTGTCTCAAAAGGCGAATAAATATCTTCACATCTTGTGCTAACCGCACATATTCAAATCAGAATATTCTAAATATGAATGAGTCTAAACAGAATATTTTTAATATGAGGTACGGCATTGGCGAGGCAGTTTGCGTTCATCCAAATACAGTAGCCTGCACCAATACCTTATACTGACTGACTGAGTTTAGTTTTACGCCGCTTTTAGCAATATTCCAGCAATATCACGGCGGGGGACACCAGAAATGGGCTTAACACATTGTGCCCATGTGGGGAATCGAACCCGGGTCTTCGGCTTGACGAGCCAACGCATTAACCACTAGGCTACCCCACCGCCCCCAATACCTTATAGGGCTTGTGGTGTGCACAAGTTGGAGAGGCGTTCTGCCACATTCTTCCCAAACCATAACATTTTTTGCTGTTTTGAGAAACCGTTTACACATTTTATGCTATACATCTTCAATAATTTTACAGTATGAGGCCCCTTACTTCTGCACCATTAC